TAGTCGTTGATCATCTCCTCCATGTCTGTGTGTGTGTTCAGGTTGTCCACCAGCTGCAGAAACAACACTTATTATTGTAACATCTTATATCTTAATATTTAATGACATTATTTAACTATATTTACGCTGCTCTTGTGTCAATAATCTAAAGTATTTACCATATTATAATCTGCCAGCTGTCCTTGGAAGTCTTTGATCTCTGCAGCCAGACCCTCAGCTCTGCCACACAACATGAAAATTAGTATTCTTATGTGTGTGTGTGTGTGTGTGTGTGTGTGCGTGTGCACGTGCGCTCGTGTGCACGTGCGTGTGCGTGTGCGCGTGTGTGCGTGTGCGCGTGTGTGCGTGTGTGCGTACTCACTTCTTCTCGTACGACAGATACACAGAGTTTTCTTGGTGAAAGTTGTCGATCTCTTTGTGCAGTTTGCTGTTCTCTGTGCTCAGCTCGTTGATCTTACTCCTGACAACAGAAGAAGAGAGACCAGAGAGAGACCAGAGAGAGACCAGAGAGAGACCAGAGAGAGACCAGAGAGAGACCAGAGAGAGACCAGAGAGAGACCAGAGAGAAACCAGAGAGTTGTGATGTGGTGAGGTTACCCTGAACAGATCTTGCCCATTGCAGAGACAGTGGGAGAGAATACCTGAGGAGGCCCAAGTAGTAGGACTTGTCCAGGATCTGCCGCTGAGGTCCTTCAACATAATAACAAGAACATGGTCATTCACTGTGGTTAGCCGTGCTTCTAAGACCAGAGGGAGAGCAGAGAGAGACCAGAGAGAGAGACCAGAGAGAGACCAGAGGGAGTTCAGAGACAAAAGAGAGAGAGACCAGAGACAGACCAGAGAGAGACCAGAGACAAAAGAGAGAGAGACCAGAGGGAGTTCAGAGACAAAAGAGAGAGAGACCAGAGACAGACCAGAGAGAGACCAGAGACAAAAGAGAGAGAGACCAGAGGGAGACCAGAGAGATACTAGACAGATACTAGAGAGAGAGCAGAGAGAGAGCAGAGAGAGAGCAGAGCGAGACCAGAGAGAGACCAGAGAGAGACCAGAGAGAGACCAGAGAGAGAGACCAGAGACAGAGCAGAGACAGAGCAGAGACAGAGCAGAGAGAGACTAGAGTGTGTTTCATCCAAAAGTTTTCTGTTGTTGCTTCTTCTGTTTAAAGGCTTTGTGGTCCTGTGCTACATAAATAAAGTGGATGTGGGTGTGTAACCCAGCTCTGGTATCTGGTGTGGAGGACGATCACCTTTGACCCCGGTCTTCATCCCGCTGAGCCCCTGCTGAGTCACAGGTCTGTCGGCCACTTTGATCTGAGCAGACAGCAGACCTGGGACAGACACAGGGAGCCCTCGACCTGCTGTACCAGGAACCATCTGCACAAGGAGACACCAGAGTCAGGACCATGTGACGCACGGCACAAGGAGACACCAGAGTCAGGACCATGTGACGCACGGCACAAGGAGACACCAGAGTCAGGACCATGTGACGCACGGCACAAGGAGACACCAGAGTCAGGACCATGTGACACACAGACATTGAGGTGAACCAGATGTGGGTCTAACAGGAGGTGTTGGGGTCTTACCCCGGTGGCCACTCGGATGGCGGTGGGGGGAGGCCGCACTGCAGTGGGGGGTCTCCCAGATCCACTCCTGCTGACGGGACGAGCCAGGCCAGAGGGAGGCCGCTGTGACGCCATGGCAACGATACACAACTACTGCACACATGAACACACAAAGATCACAGTCTGTGAGGACTGTGATCTGTCTGTGTCAAATGTTTAATGCACTTTTTAAATTGTTTTATTTCTGTACTTTTAACCTCGTTTTATTTTTGTGCTTGTTTCGTACTCACTGGGGACGTTTGCGGATGTATTCTAATGTAGTTTTACTGCCATTGGCAAATAAAATGAATCTGAATCTTTATTTATAATAATAGATCAGACACTGATTCACTTGAAATGTGCTCGACATGCCGAGAACTGATTCAAACTATTATAACCTAGAAATATATAGTTTCTAATCTATATTCATTCCGTTTTTAGTTCAGAGTTATTGTTCATGTTTCTTGTGCTGTGTGCTCCTGGTTCTACTGCTCTGGAACTGTTTATGCAACACTGACATTTCCCCACAGTGGGACGGATTAAGGATCTTTATCTTATGGTTGATTTGTGGATTAAACACGTGTGAATGTACTTTAAAGAAGCCCGGTACTATGAAGTCTTTAGTTGTAATTAGAGTCGGATCTGGTCCGAGTTTCTGAGGTTAAAATAAAGTATAAAAGCTTTATTACAGAGTTAATGTTTGACAGTTACGTTCAAAGACTTTAACTAACGAGAACATTTGTTTTATTGCTAACTTGTAAACATGCTATAGTTCTGTGTTTATGTTAGCAGTAGCCGTTAGCTCCATAGCATCGCCGGTGTTAGCCTCCGCCCTCTCCCCGCGGCTCTGCTCACAGCCTCCCGGTGCTCCGTGTGCAGTCTCCGGGGACCCCTCAGGTGCGGTGGGTACTGGTGGTTAAAGCTTAAAAACACGTCTTATTTAAGCTAAAGTAAAAGGCTAAGCTAATGCGTCTTCAGAGGATGTTGTCGTTTCCACAGCAACCGTCTTGTCCGCTCCTCGCTGCTGCCCCCTAGAGGCAGAGGAGACACACGCACCTGTCCGTTCAGATGGATTCCTTTCTTTCTCTCCTGTCAAAGTCAACATGAGATGAGTGAGGATCAGGGTGATGCCTTTTCCTTTCTTACAAGACCCTAAATATGGTCCAGGTTGATGCAACAATGTACATTTTCCAAAGTTAGCAATAAGTGGATATATAAGCCGTTTCCACCAGCCCGAATCTACTAAGCCAGTGGCAAAAATTCTGTATATTTACCAATTAACATATAAACCATTGTGCAGGCCCTTTTCTATGTGCTGATGTACTTAGGAGCCCCAAAAAGACCTTTTTCCATCCATTTTCTTCCACTTTACCTGTTGCCGGGTCGTGGCCGCAGCAGTCTCTCCACATAGACAGCTCATCCAGGGTAATCCTGAGGTAGTCCCAGGCCAGCTTAGAGCCCCTCTGCAGTGTGTCTTGGGTCTTTCCCTGAATTTTCTCTGGTGAGACGAGTCCGAAACAGGAACAGATGCGACCTCCACGGCACGTACTATTCTCAAGGTAGAGGAGCAGCGACTCTACTCAGAGCTCCTTCCATATAACAGAGCTCCAATACAGATCTCTCAGGAGGAAAATGAAGCAAATCAACAAAACTGACAAACTCAGACGACAGCTTTAGTTCATTTTATATCATGTTTAATAATCACATCACTAATTAACAAGTAATCACAATAAACACTTTGTTCAAACCAAGAACATTCAAAATTATTGAAAAAAATAAGAACACAAAAAACAATTGAGGACTTGTCTCAAAACAACAATATTAATGCTAGCTAACACTACATACATGGAAGTATATCATCCCATTGTTCGTAGAATGCGATGGCTTTAGCTCGTGTTATGCTAACAGCTGCTAACGTTAGCTTCTTCTCTCACACTAGCATCTGTCCAGGCCCAAGCTAGCACACACAGACAGCAACAGGCCAAGGATAAAGGATCGTTTAAGCCCACCATGTGTCGTAGAACAATATTGTATCACAGCCTTAAGTTTCCGTCTCCTCTTTTCCCTTTTAAAACATTTCTACCCAACTGTTAAAAGCAACTCACTTCAAAAATATGTCGTCAGGTAAAAGTCTAAATTCAATGATACTAGTGTTTAAAACTCTGCAGATTCTATTAAACAGCTGTTTATGTCGGAGCAAAGTGGAGAAGTTTCAGGACATGAATAAGATTCTCAGAGTTTGGACAAATTCTACAGATTCTGTCCGACAACAAATAAAAGAATTTAGGCAAAAAGTTTTAAATCAGAGTCCGACTAAAAACATATTCCATGTTCCACCTCGACTTCAAAACAAAATCCCAAATTTCTCCCAAAAACAAATGGAAAATTCTACTTTTGTCTCGTCTTCACAACAAGCTAAAAAACACAACGATAAATAATGTACAAAAGTGTTGTGTCTTTTACAAAGAAACAAAAACATTCTTTTGACTTCAGCCTCTTTCATCATCATCGGAAATTCTCCACAGCCGCCACGGGCTCAAAACATCCTCTGATCGCTCGGTTCACCGTGATCTGTGTTTAAAGAACACGTCACATGCTTCTCACTATCCATCTAAAACTGTGTCATCAAACAAACAGGGCGGTGCAGAGGCCCTGCAGGCTCTGCTCAGACCGCAAATTCAGTTAGCAATCAGTGGGAAATATAGCCCCGTTTTAACCAGCTCTACTCTACAGGGAGTGAAGAGTAGAGTAGAGTAGAGTAGAGCCGAGTAGAGCCGAGTAGAGCACAGTAGAGTAGAGCAGAGTAGAGCACAGTAGAGTAGAGTAGAGTAGAGCACAGTAGAGTAGAGTAGAGTAGAGCACAGTAGAGTAGAGCACAGTAGAGTAGAGTAGAGTAGAGCACAGTAGAGTAGAGCACAGTAGAGTAGAGTAGAGTAGAGCAGAGTAGAGCACAGTAGAGTAGAGCAGAGTAGAGCACAGTAGAGTAGAGTAGAGCACAGTAGAGCAGAGTAGAGTAGAGTAGAGTAGAGCAGAGTAGAGCACAGTAGAGTAGAGCAGAGTAGAGCACAGTAGAGTAGAGTAGAGCAGAGTAGAGTAGAGTAGAGTAGAGCACAGTAGAGTAGAGTAGAGCACAGTAGAGTAGAGCACAGTAGAGTAGAGTAGAGTAGAGCACAGTAGAGTAGAGCACAGTAGAGTAGAGCAGAGTAGAGCACAGTAGAGTAGAGCAGAGTAGAGCATAGTAGAGTAGAGTAGAGCACAGTAGAGTAGAGTAGAGTAGAGCACAGTAGAGTAGAGTAGAGCACAGTAGAGTAGAGCAGAGTAGAGCACAGTAGAGTAGAGTAGAGTAGAGTAGAGCAGAGTAGAGTAGAGCACAGTAGAGTAGAGTAGAGCACAGTAGAGTAGAGTAGAGTAGAGTAGAGCACAGTAGAGTAGAGCAGAGTAGAGCACAGTAGAGTAGAGTAGAGCACAGTAGAGCAGAGTAGAGTAGAGTAGAGTAGAGCAGAGTAGAGCACAGTAGAGTAGAGCAGAGTAGAGCACAGTAGAGTAGAGTAGAGAAGTAGTAGAGCACAGTAGAGTAGAGTAGAGCACAGTAGAGTAGAGTAGAGTAGCACAGTAGAGTAGAGCACAGTAGAGTAGAGTAGAGTAGAGCACAGTAGAGTAGAGCACAGTAGAGTAGAGCAGAGTAGAGCACAGTAGAGTAGAGCAGAGTAGAGCATAGTAGAGTAGAGTAGAGCACAGTAGAGTAGAGTAGAGTAGAGCACAGTAGAGTAGAGTAGAGCACAGTAGAGTAGAGCAGAGTAGAGCACAGTAGAGTAGAGTAGAGTAGAGCACAGTAGAGCAGAGTAGAGTAGAGCACAGTAGAGTAGAGTTGGTGTAAACATGGCAGTGTTAAGTTTCCTGCTTCTTCGTTAAAGGGAGAGTCTGTAAAATGGCGTCCGTCGCTGCTGTTGTTGCTCAGATAAAAACTCTTTGATGTCGGACATTAAGGTGCTTTTCCGTTTGATCAATAATTCGGTTAAAAACTAATCGCAGTTCGTGAAGATCCGGAAAGTCACTCAAACAGTAAGACTTATTTTGGTGTTTTGCGCAAAAATGATTAAAAAAATGAAGAAAAAGTTGCATTTTCCGCGGTCGACGATGACCTAATGTGACGTTAAGCTCATATGAGAGTGATTAAAACATGTTATAATAATAATAAGGCAGATATCTGTGTTACAGCTGTGGCTTTAAGGTCCTGGTGCGACAGTAGATTCTAATCAGTCTCCTGTTTTAATGATGGGTTTAACTTGTACGTGGTCATTTCAATGTTGCATAGAAGAGCAAAGGGTTTTTAGGGGGGTTCCACGTCACACGGGGGGGGGGAGAACCCTACTGTGACCCTCCACAACAATCAAACCTCACGTCTGGTCAACCTCACGCAAAAATCATTCACTTCCCACTTCCTGATCCTCCAGAGGCACTTACAGCAGAGGCGGGGGAGGCTTGGGCTGCATCCCAATTCAAAACACCTCCTTCCTTGTCCTTAATTCTGTCCATTGACCTGGGTGGCATTCAGAATGTCTTAAATCTTCACTTCCACACCTGGAAGTGAAGATTCCACACCTCCAAACCTGGAGAGGCCCCGAATTATAGCAGAGGTACTTTGGGTTCTAATTCTACTGTTTAGTCTCTTTTTTCAGGACCAGGACAGCAAAGAAGAAACTAAAACCTCCTGCTATATCGATAGACCACTTGTGCATAGAGCTTGCGTCCAGAATCCAGGATCTAGGCTAAAATAGATCACATTTTGGATTTGTTTTTACGGATTTATAATCACTTTGGTGTTTGAAAATCCCAGCATTTCCCAACTCCTTTGTCCTTCCAACACTGCTGCATTAACCCAAACTTCAACACCTTCCACTACTTTGTACTTTAACACTTCAGCAGAAACCTCCTCTCCCCACCTCCACAGACTGAACACACGTCCTCTCACTCTCTCATCTCTCTCACTGTTTTGTGCCGCGGCGTGTGCGAGCTCCTGTGTGAGCTCCTGTGTGAGCTCCTGTGTGAGCTCCTGTGCGAGCTCCTGTGCGAGCTCCTGTGTGAGCTCCTGTGCGAGCTCCTGTGTGAGCTCCTGTGTGAGCTCCTGTGTGAGCTCCTGTGTGAGCTCCTGTGTGAGCTCCTGTGCGAGCTCCTGTGCGAGCTCCTGTGCGAGCTCCTGTGTGAGCTCCTGTGTGAGCTCCTGTGCGAGCTCCTGTGCGAGCTCCTGTGCGAGCTCCTGTGCGAGCTCCTGTGTGAGCTCCTGTGTGAGCTCCTGTGTGAGCTCCTGTGTGAGCTCCTGTGCGAGCTCCTGAGCTCCTGTGTGAGCTCCTGTGCGTATTTCTGTGAATAATGAGCGCCTAAAAGACTATTTCAAAAAACTACAAAACATAAAACAGTCTTGAGTAAAAGCAGAGAATACACAACTTTACGTTCGCACGACAACAGCGGGAGGGACGTCAACAACCACAGAGATACAAGCAGAGGTCAGAGGTCAGTTCAAGTCAAGACTGTAGGAGTCTGTAGGGGATTCTGTGGGACTGAGTGTGGCGGTACATGACGGGGCTGTCAGTCCAGTCCAGTCCAGTCCGGTCCAGTCCGGTCCCACTCTCTCAGCTAAAGGCTCTGTGCACAAGGGATCAAGGGCTCGTATCCACAGACTCTAAACCAGGGGTCTCCAACCTGTGACTCGGGAGCAGCCAGTAGCTCGCCTCCTCCTTTAAGGTAGCTCCCTGATCCTGGAGGATTCACTTCTGAGTCATGGTCTATTTTAATGATAAATGTCATGAATGCAGAGATACAGTGCGGTTCAGTGGTATGTTGTGCATGTGTGTTCTCCGTGTTTGGCTGTGGTTTCATAGACTGCTAAGGGAGTAGCTCTC